AAAAAAAAAAAAAAAAAAAACGCATCTTAGTAAAACGAGCTCAGCTTCGCATCGAAGCTAAAATTAAAATCAATAATTTTTTTTATTTGATCACTATAATCCACCAAAAAATAGCTAAAACCGTTTATTAGCTTAGTAACAACCAAGGGGACCGAGTTTTAGCTATTTAATTATCTCCCCCCATGTAAAAATAGTTCTGGCGCCCCTGAGTTCATGTTGTTTTTGGAATAATCCACCAATTTCTAAAAATTAAACACAATCTAAAGATTTGCATCGAAGCATTTATTTTTAATAGTGATTTTAATCACAGTCAGATATCATCAATATTTGTTCCAACTATACCACGTCCATACTGTGCTACTGCTTTTTTTTTTGTTATCATGTGACTATCTAACAAGTAAGTATGATTATTTTCCTTTATAAAGTTTCAATAAACATTCGTTATTTTTAATTTTGATTTCATATTCTCAAAGAAATTATTTATTTCTATTTTTTTTTTTTTAAATATATTTTCTTGTAATATATGTTTCTGCTGAAGAATAAATTCCGTTACCGAAATATTATTTCGTTACATCACTAGTTGACATACATTTGTTTTAACTAAATCGTTTGAATAGAACCAGTTTTGCCATAGGCAATATTAACCAGTGGCTAACAGAAATTCGTAATACAAAAGGAACATATCATAAAAAACTTGTTTTACTATTACTTCCGAATTTTCTCTGTGTTTGCTATTTTAATTTAAAATATAAAATTTTTTTGAACTAAACATAATGACCCTAAAGATCTGGAATTTTAAAATTCAGTTTTCAATTACCCTAGTGATTAATCAAATTTGCAAGTCAAAGTTGAAAATATATTAATCATTATTATGCTTCAATAACATAAAATATATCAATATCGTCATTTATTATTAATTAACAACCACAGAGAATAAAAATTATTTTTTAATAATAGTTAATTAATTGTTACTAAATTATCACTATAAAAAGTATAGTTTTATGTGAATATTGGTAATTAGTAACTTAAAGTTCATTAAAAAATAATAACGTTATAAGATTTAGCTCTTCTTTTTTTAATAATCAACACAAGCTTCACATACCTTTTGTTGATTGAACAATTTAGGATTAAGAGGGGATAACGACGAATGTTGAATAATTTAATACTATTTGGATACTACTAGTGACTTGTAGTGAAAGAGAAGGATCGTCCAGCCAAGGCACGATGTTAGTCATTGCCTTCATTGTTGCAAGTTAAAACGATGACGGCCACCGCTGGTTGTTGCTGACTAGTGGTGGTTCGTTGGTGAATTTACTGAACAGTCACTAATATGTGCGAGTAAACAATAATCCGTCTTACATTGTTCATAAACCCAAATTTATAAAAAGTGTAAAAAAATTTTCATTAGTAATTTATAAATGTCAAGCCTTATAAGATTATAATTTCATAATGATGCTTGAAAAAACTTCTTTAAATTTGGTCATATTAATAAATTGGTAAGTAAATTAAGTTTAAATGGTTGTGTTATTGTTGACTATCACAGACAGCAAAATTTATTTTTAAGTAAAGGTAGTTTTTTAAGGTTTTTAGTTTAATAGGTGTCCTGAATAATTTATGCAATGTGACGTATACGATTATTGTAGTAAAACTAGAAACAAGTGGTAAATATGAAGTATATATTATGAAGTTATACATAACAAAAAACTAGGGCTTTACAATTTAAACACAACTATTACACTTGGTAACATAGAGCAGCATTAATCATTTAGTGATGCAGGCGCCGTGTATAAAGCTTCAAACGCCTTTTTTTTCCCTCCTCACCTTCGTCAAAACAACATTTTCAATATAAAAAATTATGCCACAGTTTCGATTTTAAAACTCAAAAAAGAGATAACTTATGAATTTTTTTTTTTATTAGTGCTCAGTTAAAGTTTATCTTGTTAAACCTGATATAAAATATTAAAGTTATATATTTATTAAGTGTTAATACTGAAATACAAATTTAATATTTTTCTAAGAACTTAAGATCCATGAAATGTTTTTCTGTATTGTCATTTTTTTTTTTTTTTGAGATGAAAAAAATGTTTATTTAATTATGATTACCTGAAAGAAACTTAATCATAATAGATATACTTATTTTAACTTAGTTGTTACAAAAACATGATGTTTTTTTGTGTTACTATTATATACAAAGTAATTTATTTTACAAATTTTCTTACATAAAGAGTTGTTGTTTTTGAAAATACGTTTTTTTAATCAAGCTAATATTTTTTATTATCAGCTGGAGGTCACGAGCTATTCATTATTCTTTATAGCCCCAAGTAAAAATAAATGTAGTGTTGAATACCCTAGCACTGTATAATTGGCATCATATGAAATACTGCCGAATTTCATATGTCCTTAATTATTTTAAGCATAGATAGTGGCTCAACAAAATTTTTTTCAGGATATACAACTGTAATTTTTAATAATTTTGGTGATTTTTTTAGATTTAAAGAATCTATTAAAATTTAAAGGTAGATCACTAAATAGCTGATGCGTGTGAAGTTTTTTTTTACTTTTATTAATTTTGCAGTAAATTATTCACTAAATGCAATATTTTAAACGCGTAAAAAAAATTATTTTTTGCTTATTTATCATTATAACTTATTATTCTAATATAAAAAAAACATTTATTATGAGTTATTTTATGTATAAACAACTGGACATTGAAATTATATTCTTGTAAAGAAACGTTATACAGGGTGGCCCACCACTCACTGACAACTTAAATAACTTTTGATCCAGTTAATATTTTNTTATATAGTCCTTATGAACTATTAAACACGTACTCAAGATTTAATAGATAAATAATCTTTCTCAGACTAGAATTCTCTGAAATATTTATTTTTAGACATAGCACTATAGCCGTTACATAAATACAAACTTGCATTTACATGATAAAAAAAATGAATATTATGAGTTGGCCAAATATCATCTTAAACCTAAAAAAGAAGTTTATTAATCAGTTTATAAGTTGACTCTTTTCACTAAAAACCGATCGAACTCATTTAAATGTAATATAAAATAGTTCATATTCAGTTTACGTTTATTATTATTATTATTGTGTTTGTCTAAATACCAACATATGTAATTGAAATTTGGCATAATGTGAGTACTTTTCCATTACTTTTATATTTTGACATGTGTCTATTTAAGGTTATTTTAAAAACATGTTTTTTGGTTTATATATAAGGGATACTGGTTGCGATAACTTTGGGCGATACTAAATTCGAAGCAACAAAAACTATAGAGTTGAAAACCTTATTTTTTTTTTTTTGAGAAGTAGAATAAAAGTTGTTGGGGTGACAAAATTGTGCACCTCCTGCGGCACAATTCCTAAATGCATGCGACCTTGGGTTTAGCGGTTATTTAAACTTAATTTTATTCTTTATTTAATTATATGTTGTAAGAATAATTAAATTAATATATTTGGTAAATGGGACCAAAAAACTCAAATATGCCCTTAATTGTAATAATATTTTTATGAACTCAATTTAAATTATAAATACATATGTCACACACATTTACTGGAATTTTTAAATATATCACTGCTCATAAAATTATCAGTATTTACAATAATCAAAATTTATCATAGATGACAAGAAAAACAATTAACTGAAAAAATATTTTCTTATGTAACACCTCTTAATTAACCTAAAATGATATTTAAGCTACAACGATCGATTTTATTTGTAAATATTTCGAATGTTCTTTAAACACAATGATGATCATAGTCAAAATTAGATATATATTTTTTCAATAAGTTTAAAATTTTTTTTTGAGTGAGAAGCATAGGAGTGAATTAGCAGAATTAAAGGTGGAATATAAAGTCTAAGACTCGCCAACAATAAAATTAATTCCTCCAAAATGATGAAAATTATACATAACGTTATACAGGGTGTTCAGTAAGTCAGGAAACGGGTTTCTATTGTTCTCATTGTTTGTAACAATTGACCCGTTTCCTGACTTACTGAACACCCTGTATAAAAGAATGATTTATAATATGCCACCTAATTGAATTATAACCTTTGCAACATAAATATTTTCACCTAGAATGATTTTGACCTCTATCTCGGCTAGGTATGTCCTGACATATATTATATTAAAATTTATGGTTGTAATTGTTATTAACTGTTAATTGATTTGTTGAATAACTGTGATGGTAGTTATTTACACAATTTTTACTCATTAAAATAATTTTATTAATAATGTAATTTTTTTAAATAAATAAGATTAGAAAAATAATTTCAAACTAAGGACCTCATTAGCCTGGGTCATAATCCAGGTTGTAGTTCTGCCTATGATGATCTAACTTGAAAATTTCAAGACTAACCTTAATATTATAAATATTAAATATACGTCTTAAACTTAATTTTAACATTGCAAATTAAAATGTAACAACCCTGAAAGATACGGATCACTAATAAATTTAATAAACGTTGGGGAGGGGGTAACATCCCATACCACCCTAAAAAATCGCCAATGAACCCATTAAAATACGCTTTTATTATAATAATTATATTTACAATATACTTTAATATAAGTATAATGTTGTGATATTTTTGATAGTGATTTTAATCACTGTCAGATATCATCAATACTTGTTCCAACTATGCCACGTCTATACTGTGCCGCAACACTACCATGCTACCATTTTTTAATACTTTAATTGTGCAATGTTGTAAAATGGGTTCAAAGAAATTAGTAACCAGCTACAAATATAATTTATTCTAGCAGTTATGAATGATGCAAGTTTCATAGATTTTTGATGAGCCTATCTGGAATAATAATTAAATTGAAAATTCTCATACAATCTCCATTGTTTAAAATTAGTGACAGGGTTGTATTCTAGATTTTTCCACTTATAGCAACTAATTTCACTATCTTTGAAAATTTATTTGTAAGTTTTTCAAAAAAAGTTGATAAAAAAATATATTTAATTCGTTGAAATACCGTACTAAAAACTTGCAACCTAAATACGACTATAATAAATGGATTTCGGCAATTTAAGTAACTTTCGTATACAATAGTAATTATTATTAGTATATAGTTCATGTCTGAAATTATTATTTTTGCAGGTAACTTGAAATATTTAATATCAAATTTTTCATATTATATTAATGAACGACAGTTAATGGTCTTAACAACTATGCTAATGTTTCGACTAATGGAAATAAAATTTTGTTTTTTAAATTAGCTTCACTTCAAAATGAACTATGATAGTTTGGCAAATTAATCTGAATTTAATATGTCTAAATAAGAGTTTTTCTGCCGATATGTATTTATTTCAAACGTATAAACGAAAAAATATGGTGTTATTGTTAGTTATCATGGTAGCTTTAACTATTGTTACTGCAATATTGTATTATAAATCATTGATTTCTCCTTGTTACACATTACCAAGTTACTCTTCGAGTAAAAATAATGGTAGATTGATAGCTCAAATGGATTCTAAACATCAATGGTCACCTTTATATTCTTATGTCAAAAAAAACAAAAGTTATTTAATTTGCAAAACTCATGACACTCAGGTAATAAATTTATTGCTTTTTTTACTAGTAATTTTAATATATATTATACCTATTTTTTCATATACAATTTTCTACCAAAAGATTCATAATGGTAACAACCTTCAATTAGAGTACATCGAAAAAAAAGAAAAGGATTTATTAACAACAAACATTAATTCTAAAAAAGTTAGTATTAAAGATATGGCTTTAATATACTTTATAACACCAACATATCCTCGACGAGAGCAAATTGCTGAAATTATAAGGCTTAGTCAAACACTAATGCATGTACCTAGGCTATATTGGATAGTCGCTGATGATCGGCCAGATTGCAGCGAGCAACTCAAAATCATTCTTCCTGAATTTGGTAAGATTAAAAATAAAGATGATCATTTTCGAATAACTATATTTTTTTAAACTACTCAAATAGTTCGATAATTACTATTCATTATTTATCATCACTAGTTAAAATCATCATTATGAAAATATTAATATAATTAATGAGTAAAATTGAAAATTTATTCTTCAGGAATACCATATACTTATATAGCTAGCCCGATGCCTACATTATACAAAAAAAAAAACGTCGTGCCTCGTGGAGTATCCAATCGAAGAGCTGCTCTTGATTGGATTCGTCAAAATCATAACAAAAGTGATACGAACGCGATTCTGTATTTTGGTGACGATGATAATACATTTCATTTGAATCTTTTTAAAGAAATACGGACCACAAAAAAAATATCTATGTTTCCTGTTGGTTTGGTAGGAGATTATGGAATTAGTTCACCTATTGTAGAGAAAGTAACATTAATATAGTAGTCAATTTAATTCCTTATTTAATTTTAAATGTTTTTAGGGTAAAGTCATTGGATTTTTTGATGGTTGGCCAGCTAGTCGGAAATTTCCAGTTGATATGGCTGGCTTTGCTGTAAATATTCAGCTTATTTTTAAATACCCTCAAGCTACCATGCCTTACAAGGCAGGTTTTGAAGAGGATAGTTTTCTTACAGCGTTGAATATTCAGTTAGAAGATATTGAACCTAAAGCAGAAAATTGTACAAAGGTAAGATAAAAAAGTTTTTTTATGAACAATTTTATTTTATTTTTTGATACTACTTAAGCATACTAACAAATTTTAGATTTTGGTTTGGCATACTCAAACTGTTAAAAAGTTACCATCAGTCTTATCAATCAAATCAAAATCTACACTTCCTGGGTCACTTACAAAACTTTTAGAGCAATTAACATTATTGGGTATAGGAACCATAAGTGATTCAGTAAAAGGTTTGATTTGTTCTATGAAATAAAGTTTTTGTTAAAAGTCAATACTCTTTTAAAAACAACTAATAAAAAATACTCTAATTTCAGGCAATCGTACTTATATAACAAAACATGGGAACATTTTCAGGCTGTGAAGTATAATATAATTATGATGAACATAAAAATTATGATTTACTTTTAAATGTATTTACGTGAAATAAAGTAATCACACCTCCTTGACAAAGATCCTTTATTTTTTATTACTTGAGAATAAAAAAAATTGGTGCCCATATTTATGTCTAGTATTGCATATAGTTTATTCAATATGTTAGTATCAGACAAGAATAATCAATATTTAAATAATTGTACATTATTGCATATACCTTTATTTAATGTTAATTTTACAATTTGATTTTTAAATAGAACTGTTAAATTTCTGTGTCAATAAAGATAACGACAGAGGGTAATTTATAGTTCCTTTGTTATTGCTGTTAAAAATTTTTTTTTAATTATGTTTGTTATACAAATTATTGATATAATGAAATTTTTTGTTATTATTTATTTATAAAAAAAAAATACTAAACCAATATATTATTATGTTGAGCTTATTTATGATAACAATAAAATAAATATATACTTAAAATAGAAATATTGTTTAATAATAATAACAAAACGATAAATCAATACTTCAAGACAATACTCACAAATTTGTAAGTATGACAATATAGAACAAAAATCAAAGAAATAAAAAATGGGAAATTCATTTGCAGTTTTCAATTTCATTTATGATATAGTTTAGTACATTCATAGTCTGATCTTGTATTAAAACAATATCAAATGCATGTTCATATTGGTGTAAATATGGATCGTTTTCATCTTTCTATAACCATAAATATTTTATTGAATCGTAATTTATTAGAATAGAGTGATTAAATAACCACTTACAACATCATTGTTTAAAAAGCCAATGCGTAGTACATTATTATACGGGATTCCACCATCCATATTGGCATCTCCTAAAGAATCTCCTAAAAGAATAACATTCAAACGTCCACTCAACATGGTATCCTAAAAAACACAATTCTTTCATGATTTTTACGCTTAGATGCATTTTAAATATCTAAGTAATAATATAATTTTTACTTACATTGCTATGGGCTTCTAAATATCTATGTTCATTTTTATTGAAAACATGAATGATAGGATAATCTTTAAATCCATTAATAATAGTATTTCCATCATTATCTAAAGCTAAATTAAGAAAATTTGATACTACAGATACATTTTTAGTAAATAGTTTTTCATGAACCAACGTCAACTCAACAACATCTCCAATACCAGCAGACATAACGATAACAGGCACATTGTGTTGAAATAAATTTTGAAAAGCTTTTGTACAGCCATCTCTATAAAAAAAAGAAGCATCATGATTTTTGTAGTCCTTAAAACGAATTAAAAAAAAGTAATAATTATTTGCATATTTTATAGTTTTTTATGAGAATACAAAATTAATTTTTAAATTACTATATTTTACACGAGGTAAAAATTAATTTAAATTAAATCAAATTTGAATTTTGATTAGACAAACAAAAATTATGCTGCCGTCTATTTTGACATTAGTTTAGTTGGCTTTTTATCAACTGAAAAAATACTTATTAATAAATTAAGAATGGATGTATAACTAAAAAAGGCCAAATTTTTTTTTGATATTTTCCTACGATGTCAATTATAATAAATATGGTTCTGTTTAATACAGATATAAAACATAATTTATTTGTAATAGAGTGTTTATTTAACCTCCAATTGACAACTGAATACATCATTTTTTTTTCTAAAATTACCGAAGTTTAACATTAGCTTCTTTTGTAGCTATATCAAGATCTTCATAACAAAATCTTATACTTTTTAATAACGCTTCACTTTGATTCCACCAATCTTCAATATAAGGTAGCTTTTCTTCTACTGTCATATTTGGATCATCTTCAATAGGTCTATATTTATGATATAATGCTTGAGCTTTTTCTTTATAATCTTTTGTCAGACTCTTACATGATTCAAATACACCTAGAAGTATACTTTAATCTTTAGGTTACAATATTTTTATGCAATGAATTCCTGAGAATAATAAAATTATCAAAAAAAACACAGAAAGTCACTTTAACAGATCAAATCTCTAAAGTATAAACAAATATTTTAGAAATCATCTGCTTCAAATGCTTAAACATTTTAAAAGAAATAAAGATTTTATATACCTTTATGTTTTCTTGACATGAAAATAATTTTTACCTTAACAAAATGTAGTAAATACGGTTTAGTGTAACTAGTTAAAAAAATCAGTGTGTTTTATTATATGTGCGGATGAAGTGAAACTTCATTCAAAGTTATTCAACTGATAGTATATTAGGTTTATATTAGAGTTAAATAAAAACTTACACCTAAAATTTGTATTTTCTATTGAAATTAATTTAATTTATCAATAATTTTCTTATTCTACTGTTACAAAAGATATAATGTGCTTATGATAACTGAAATAACTAATGTAAATTCTTGATTGGATAATATGAAGATATTCAGTGAAAATTTAAATTTCATTTTTCAAAGAAAAAAACCACAATAGATGTGGTTTTTTTTTTTAAATTTTTATGTACAATCAAATTTATTTAAAATAACTTATTTAATGAGTTTTAAATAAAATTACTTTCTATTATTATTTATTTATGAAAATACATATAGATAATATTTATTTTTATTTACATTAATTATATGCAATAATAATAAAAAATAAAATTGCAGATTTTCATTTATATATAACATAATAAATTATTTTAAATCAATATTTTTATTAATTATTTATTATTCACAATTTACCTATTTCATTATTAATATAAATAAATAACAAATAACAAATAAATGATTAATACTAGTGTAAATAATAAATATTATCTAAGCATATTGTTATCAATAAGGATAATAATATAAGTAATAAATTATATTTAATATTATCAATTAATTATTATATATTTATATAAATTATATATACTAATTTATTTTGAAAAATTAAATTTTAAATGCTCTGCTTTTTTTTTTTATATTCATATTAAGTGAATTAAATTAACAAAAATTATAAATTTATATACATTAGTAATAAATTATTGTTATTAAAAAGCAATATATAAATTAAAAATTAATATTTTAATATTAAAAATCAAGTTTTATGAATTTAACATCCAAAATATTTATTTACATATTTACAATAAATTATAAACAATCGTAGAATACAAACTATATTCTACTATTCAATTGTTTTATTAAGTATATAGTTAACATTTTATTAATCGAGGGATGTATAATAAAACAATAGAATCCGTCATTGACGGTCAAATGTTATGGCCTACCGTGATGTATAAATTATCTTTTTCTTTGGACCGTCTATAAAGAAGTTTCACTTCAAAAAAATGTTAATTTCAAAAATTTGATAAAAGACTATAAATTATAAAAAATACCTAATATATTTTTTTTTAATCATAAAGAGTAAGACCTGATTAAAACAACTTTTTAAAATTGTGTATTTACATAGAAAAAGGCCTTATCTTTTCAATACAATAAGTACTGCTAATAAGCAGTTTCTTGAATCATATCTCTGGTATTTATATAGGAGTTCAGCAAGTAAAGAAAAGGTTTTCTATTGTTTTTATTGATTGTAACAATTTACCTGTTTCCTTAATTACTGAACATTCTATATAAACTCACCTTTGTCACAAGATTACTTGTGCTTATTGTAAAAATATGTAATTTACAGATTGAACAAATTAATAATAAAAATAAATCTTTCTAATAAGTCATATTTTTGTATAGAAAAATTGTGAGTGCATACTTCTCAGTGTACCTTTTAAATTCTAAAAGATTATTTAAGTTATTAGAAAAATTATAAAATAGATTAAAAAAATGTTTAGATCATAGAATTTAATATTTCATTTTTATTTTAGGAGATTAAATTAGCTTTTTAATATATCTTTTGTGATAAATTAAAAAAAAAAATGTATATCTAGACATAATATATAAATAACTTACAGAAACTACTTTTGGTAGGTATTTTGTTATGCTCAGAACAGGATATGGTCCGATCAAAGTCTGATATGATCTATACAAATAAGTTTGAAAATGTGAAAAAAAAAGATATTTTTATTAAAATTTTTAAATTATACTTGTAATTTTTCAAAACCATCATAAATTATCTGTTGTAATTTTTTGTTCACTACATCTTGGTATTTTATATGAACTTTAGCACCACACTTCTCTATTATCTAGTAAAAAAAAATTATGTCATGAGAAATATAATTGTATTACAATTTAGGTACCTCTTTACTGTAATCCATATTTATTTCCTAAATAACTTTTTTTCTTAGTTATAATTAGTATAATAATAAATTATACTTAGTATTAGTTATAAGAATATTCTGTAATGTAGTAGAATACTAAAACAATAACATGACAATTAAGAAAATTTGTGCCGAGAATAATTGATAAAAATTTAATATTACTTATCATAATTTTAAGCATTAGGATTGATATTAAAAATGGTAGTTAATTTAATGCTTATCGTTTAAAGTCAAGGTATTAAAATACATTTTTTTTAATTTACGATTATTTAACGACTAGAAGTTAACAATTCTACAGTGGATACGTTAGTAGTGATGGGTCCGTACTCGTGTAATCGGTCCAAAGTAACGAGTACATTGGTGGAACGAGTAGGACCGATTATACTTGGTCGTTACACTATCGTTCCGTCGGTGGCACAAAATACAGTTGTACCCCAATTGATTACAATAAAACCTGAGTACTTGAGTAGTTCTTGCTTGTTCGGGATTATGTAACTACAACCATAGATTAAATACATATGTGTATTTAATCTATGCTACGACCTACAGTAACTGTCTATTTGGTAAACCGTTGACTAGGCCGCTCTATTCTTACCGTGATGGAAAACTAACGCTATCTCTTGGTTTTTTAATAATCTTAAAAAAGAACGGTTAACAAACCACCAATTTTAAAACTGCTAATGGTATCCATCCACATATTTTAAATTAGTGATGGGCATAATCGAATTATTAGTAATCCAGAGAATCTCTTGAAATTCTAATCGAAATAAAAATCGTTTATTCTTTTGATAATAGTAATCGATTATTCCCAATGATTTTGAGTATGTTTCGATTACATTAAATACATTTATAACTTATAACCAAATTATTCAATTAAGTATAAGTAAAGAAATATAAATAAGATGTTTTAATAATACTACGTACTAATATAGAATGTATGTGTACTATTATTGAAATTTAAAATATACTAATTCAATTACGAAATTACGATTATTTTGCTTATAATCGAAATATCTTGATTATGCCCATCATTAGTTAAAATGTGATTATTCATATAAAAAAATAGTCTTTGGTTTTCTTTTTTATAAACTCAGCCCCTTTAATGGTCTCTGTTAATTGAATGTAAAAGATACAACATGTATAAATTAGAACTGAATTTAGAAGTTTGACGCCCCTAGCCAATTTTTTTGGGCACACTATTGAGAAAAAAAGTCAATTTTTAACACTGGTATGAGCACTACAGCACTTGGCGAGGTGCTAATAGTTAACTATTTATATAATGCTAAAAATGAAAAAAAAAAGTTAAGTGCAGTATTTTTATTGTATTTTTTAATTGGGATATTTTTAAATTAGTATTGATTGATAGTATGACTTATTGAACTCTTTGTCATAAGTAAAACGCTTTGGTGCGTATTTAAAAAGAAATGGTATAATGATTTTGCCCCTTCCAAGTACTTTGATTTATTATAGGATTTTCAAAAAAGGATGTTGATTGTTAGAAATTATTTTATTTATTATCTCTAGAAATTTTATTTTGATCCAAAAATTATTCAAATAGGTAGTAGATCGATTTATTATAACTAAGAAAAATTAAATTCTGTATAGTATATTAAATAATCTATAATTTGGTTTTGTTTTAAATGAGAATGTAGATGTTGAGTTGCTATGAAAAATACTACAAAATCGACAATTGTTACCAGAAATTGTATGATTTTTGACTTTATTGCTCAATATTTCCTAGAAATCAAGTTTTTGGATATTTACCATTTTAAAATACACTAAATTTGCTTTGACTTTGTATACATTTTTTGAGCATAATGAGATATTGAAAAGAAAAAAAGATTTGGTATTAGTTTCGTTTCATCAGTTTTTTATCAACATTTGAAAACAGTTTGACTCCCAGGTATAACAACAAAAAAAAAATGATTATGTTATTTAATCAAATATTTTTATTTTTTGAAGTGGTAACTTCATCAAAAAAAACTACTATTGAAGCAATTATTAAGCTAGATAGGTATTTAAATGAGACTATAATAAAAAGAAAGTCGGATCCTTTGTTATGGTGAAATAAGAGGAAGATGATGTTTCTTAACTTATTTGATCTTTTATTGTTGAGATTATGTGTTCCTTTAACTTCTGTTCCGTGCGAACAGACATTTTCTAAAGCGGGATACAAAATTACTGAAAGGCGTAATAGACTTACAGTTAAAAATTCAGAGATGTTACTGTTTTTAAATAGTAATTTTTTATTAAAAATTGTGATATATAGTTTATATAGCAGAGGGGTCAGCTTATCGTTGCTATACTGACGATCGACCGTTTTGTCATCCGTATGGATGGTAATGCGAGTTAGTTGACTTTCTGCAGTGAATAGTTCAATCGAACTATTCACTTGAATGAACTATTCCAAACTGTTTCAGTTTGAACCTAATAGTTCTTCTTCTTCTTTTACTGGCATTCCTACTCTGTAAGAGTTTTTGCCGCCATTACTACGCTTCGCCACCTATCTCTATCTTGGGCTGTCTCTCTCCAGTCTTCAACTCAAAGGATTCTTAAATCTTCTTCTACCACGACGATCCATCTTTTCTTCGGCCTCTAGGTCTTTTTCCTTGTGGTTTCCATTCCAATGCTACCCTGGCTATCTCGTTCTCTCTTCTTTTCGCTATGTGTCCTAACCATTGTATTCTTTGGCCCATAATAAAACTTGTTACCGGTGCTATTTCCAACATGTCATATAGTTCTCTGTTGTACCTTCTCCGCCAATTTCCCGTTGTTTCATCGATGACTGGTCCGCATATTTTCCTCCACACTCTGTGCTCAAAAGTCCTCGGGTTTCTTTCTGTTTGTTTGGTCGTTGTCAACGCTTTACAACCATACGTGAGAGTCGGGATTCGAGCCGTGTACAATCTTGCTTTCGTTTTTCTAGATAGAATTTTGGATGTAAAGAATTTCATCATTGTGTAGAACGTTTTTTGAGCTTTATTTATCCGAATACTTATTTCCTTTGACCAATTATTCTTTGTACTTAACGTTGCTCCCAGATATTTAAAATCGCTAACTTTTTCGTATGCTAAATTCTCCACCTTACTGAGGTCCTCCCACTATCTAATAGTTCCATTATCTTCGTTTTCTCAGTATTTATTTCAAGACCAATTTTCTTCGCTGCTTCTTCTAGCACTCTGGCAGCGTTAGCTGTGTCTGCAAGCAAATCGCCAAGTATATCCAAATCGTCAGCGAATCCGAGGAGCCGTATCTTATTCTGGCCGATTAGTAAACCACCTTCATTGTCCTGTAGTATTCTTACTACCTTCTCTAAGGCAAGATTGAAAAGTACTGGGGAAAGAGCATCCCCCTGTTTTAGTCTGGTTTCCACTGTAAAGGTTTTCGATGTTACATTCTGTGTTCTTACTCTGTACCTCGTGTCTTCCATGCACATTTTAGTTAGCGTTATTAACTTTTTTGGGAAACCAAACTCATCCATAATATTGTAGAGACTCTCTCTGTGTATACTATCATAGGCCTTTTTAAAATCTATGAAGAGTTGCCACATATTCTGCCGATATTCGCATCTCTTTTCAATTATTTGACCTATTATGGATAATTGTTCTGTGGCTGAACGACCTTTCCGAAAACCACATTGGTACTCACCTAGGCCATCCTCCGCATAAGGGATAATGCGATTCAGTAATATCCTAGAGAAGACCTTGTACGCGGAGTTTAAGAGCGATATCCCTCTATAATTGTCACACTTTGTCTTGTCTCCTTTTTTATGCAATGGTATGATGATTGCCTCATTCCAGCTATCCGGTACTCGTTCTTCCATCCATATTAGGTGACACAGTCTGTGGATTACTAAATGCAGCTCCTCACCTCCGTATTTTAAGAGTTCTGCTGGAATATTATCGGTACCCGGTGCTTTCCAATTTTTCAGGCCAAATAATACACTTCTTCTATTATTTCTATTTACTTCTTCTAGGCTAACATCCTCGACATAGGGCTCCGCTCTTTCATAATCGATATGAGCTACAGGCTGATCTGGCATTCTCCCATTTAGTAAATTTTCAAAATACCTTTTCCATCTCTCAGCTCTTGATTCTGGTTCCATTATCATTTGTTCGTCTTGATCTCTGATTGCATTCCATATAGGGTTAAAATGCTTATACTGTTTAATGGCTCTAAAAAAGTTTCTAGTTCTCCCTTGTGTATGATCGTTCTCTGCTGTTTGAAGTATGTTGATAAAAATTTCTTTTTTCTCTTCGAAGAGTACTTTTGCAGGCTTTACGTTCCCGTATGAAACTTTCTTTAGTCATTTGAGTGTTGTTTTTAATAAATTCATTTCTCGATTTTCGGCGTCTGTCTACAAATATCATTATACCAAGTATTTCTTGACCTTTTTAGCTCATCAATACTAGTGGCCGCTGCTTTGTTAACAGCGTTTCTCACTATTTACTAATCCAGATCAATGTTCATTTGTGCATTATTCTCTTTAAGGTTCTTCGTGACTTCGTTCTCATAATTCTTCCTCACGATTTCATCTTTGAGTAACTCTAGATTAATTTTGATCCTTTTTTCTTGCTTTAATTTCGATTGGCTTTTTAACTTTGATCTAAGTTTTGCAATCACTAAGTAGTCCGTGCACGCAAAGTCCTGCCCCCACCTCCACGTGGTGCAACCCGGGCAACGGATCCCGACTTTTGGGATCCGGCTAACGGGGGAGGCCACACCACGTTGTGAATCAGCTCTTGATTAATTTCGGGCTGATTCACAACGTGGTGGTGTGAGTTTTAGAGGGCGTGGGCCGCCCTGAAGCAATACATCGCGGTAGTTCCAGGGCGGTCCACAATATGCCGGATTGTGGAGGAAAAAAAAAAAAAAAAGTAGTCCGTGCATAATCGGCGCCTCTCTGGCTTCTTACATCGTAAATGGTACTACGGTATCTAGTCTGTATGAGGACGTGGTCAATTTGGTTCAAGGTTTCGCCATCCGGTGACCTCCACGTGACTTTGTGAATATTTTTGTGTGGGAACGTAGTACTACTAACAGTCAACCCATTTGATGTTGCAAACGTTATCAATCGCTGACCATTGTCATTGCTGTTACTATGCAAACTCTCTTTCTCTATGCAAGGGAAGTATTGTGGTTCCCATCCGCATTTTGCATTCAAGTCTCCTATTACAATCTTTATCACGTTCCCAGTAATGCCCTCATATGTATCAGTTAGTTCGTCGTAAAAGGCATCTTTCACATTATCACCTTTTACCTCGAACTATTCACTTGAATGAACTATTCCGAACTGTTTCAGTTTGAAATTAACAGTTCAAAGTTCAAAAAATATTATATTGGTATTATTGTAGTCGCGACCGCGCTATAAGATAATATCATAGTTTATATAAGTTAATCATGATAAAAGTATTTTTTAGAGCTGTTCTTTTGTCGTTTAACAAATATTAAACCTTTTTATTAAACAAATGAACAATTTTATATGAAATTAAGTAAATAACAATATCTTATTATGAAAATATCATGAAATA